TCAAACGATTAGATCTAACACGTTCCATTGTCGGCACACAAATTTCAATGTGTAGCAAATTATGCGCTATCAAATCTACCTTGTTGATACACAACTGATGAATGTCCGCAAGTATAGAAGTTCAATTAACATATCGCTGCTGTGGAGAGATTACTAATGAGTGAATAGGAATCCGGACGATTTCGTCTCCAAAAGCCATTGGCAGCTCCTCTAACTCTAACAATTAGTCAACAATTGTGTTGATAAGTAAAACATTTGAACTCTATATAACTTACTAATATTTGGGAGCACCTCCATGCCTACACTTTCACTGTTTCCCCGAGGCACATGCGACTCGGCTGCAGGCTCACCTAGGAGATTTAGAAACAAGATTAAAGCGTAATTTTGCTTTCCCATTAAATGATTTTGCACTTCTTGCACAACCAAAATGATAACAAATAAGTGCCTACAAGAGACATTCTCCCATTTACCTCATTCTAATTTACCCGTTAACAAACTCTCTCACCCAGGTTGATGTTCTTTAGAACATTTGAACCAGTTGCAACGCTTGCATTATTTGCATTTAGCACATCTAAAGCATAACCAAAGTGTTGTCAATCAACAACATCAAATCTATAGTGGCCTTGAGGGTTGCTCAGCCACCCCACGCTCTGCTATGCTTGAAAGCCTGTGGAAATGTTAGTACACAACATCTTAATTTCAATCTTAATCTTTACATCAAGGACATTATCAAATTAAATCTACCACAATTCCACATTATCTTTAGGTTCTCCGTGAGATTTTCAGCGATACTTCTTTCGTTACCAAAGTTATATGTGTTGTGTTATTTTGCCAATAATATTAAGAGAGTGTTTGGAGGAACACAAACAGAATTCTCGATGCTTATGTTCATTTGAGCAGACATTTCTCAATGAGATCAGTAACATTTAGGCAGAGGAACAGTTGGAGAGGTGCTAATCACATGTGAACATAGGACCAAACTAATGAGATAGCGAATATATATGTGAAATATTTGAAGGTTATATGACATTTCCGCACTTTCACTAAACACTTTGACTGCACTTACCCTGTTTCCAAGAGAGACTTTCCAATCCATTGCAGCTTCATCGAGAACACTAAGAATACTTGTTGACCAGTATTTAATTGGTTCTACCTGCGTTCATTGCATGCTTAGACCCAACAAACCGTTCGCCACATCAACTGCTTTTACGTGGGTTGAATTTACAGACTACTTCCATGATAACTACTCTGAATTCACAGATAATCAAATGGAAATTATTTTACTTCAGTCCCACTTCGGTAGTGTACATATTTTGATATTTGATGGATATATGACATATCTGCATTCTCTTAGAGAATCCGGGTATGCTAGTTCAAATGAATTTAACTCGCTCCATTCAAAGCATCTGCCAGTTGCCTCTTTGGTACCTTCCTCAAGACATTCCTTGATATCCTACCTCAATCTCACCCTCCGTCCGCCTCTACCCCCCCCCCCCCCCCCCCCCCCCCCCCCCAACCACCACCATCTCTCCCTGAAGTCATATCTACCTCCTTCACTTCCTCTCACGACCACACCCTCCCCCCTCCCCCAAACCTCTCTCTCCCACTCTCTACATGCCTCAACGCGGTTTGAAGATATCAACCGAGAAAATCAAACGATCAGAACCAACGCACCTCATTCTAGTAAAATAATTTTAACTTGCAGCACATTTCTTGATTGTAAATCCAAATTGGTGAAACATAAGTGGTCTAATTCAATCAACCCCAAACAACAGTGTCGATAAGTATAATATTTAAGATGCTCTGCAACTTGCCTGCATTTCTATCTAACTCTTCATCTGCACTTTCATTGTTACCAAGATGTACTTTCGAGTTGACTGAAGTACCGTCTTGGTGATTTCAAAAAACATTGTTCACATTCAATTAACTCATCACATCCAATGTCAACGCACGGTTCAGTCAACCAAGAAGTGTGCAAATGGAAGTATGGAAGTGACATCATATCACTCCCTTCATACTAAACCGCAAAACTAAATAACTAACTCACCGTCGGGACCGACCTCTTCGTCAGAAGAGAGAGGTGTAACATGGTCGCCTCCTTTTTTGGGCCTCCTGTGGCCTTTCTTGCCTTTTCTGTTGTTCTCTTTTTTTCTTGCAGCACCTAAAATGCATACTCTCAATCTTACTTGTAGCCATAACCTTACTTTTAACTTCGTTTTATCAACTTCAAACTGTGCAAAATCTCACTAATTGCAATGTTTGGTCACTTTCATTGGATCACATCATTTCCAGATATCATTTAACTGCTTACTTTTGGAATTAAACAAGTCTTTTGGCTGACAGTTCAAAGAGAATGATTGTAAAACTTCTTGTTGAGCCTATGTAATGCACGTAGCCAGTGGCCTCTTTGGTACCTTCTTCAAGACAATTCTTGATATGCAACCTCAACTACACCCTACTTTAGACACTCCTCTCCCAACCCTAGCCCCACCATCAGTCTCCTTCTCTCCCTTTCAGAGGTACGTAAATGGTAGTATGGAAGTGACATCATATCATTCCCTTCATAATAAACCGCAAACTAAATAACTGACTTACCGTCAGGACTGGCCTTTTCAACAGGAGAGGCAGGTGCATCATGCGCGCTTGTTCCCTCTGACGCAGCTAAAGCAAAACAAAAGTGTTGTCAAGCAAAACGAACGAATCTCCAGATGTTACTAGGTTTGATAGCGATAGTGCATCTAAAAGGTCTACAATGAACGATCTACCAAGGAAGTTGAAATGCCAATATTTCAGTACTACAGTCTCAACTTTCCCAATGAAACATCATCACTCAGAAGTTAACTCAATTTCGAATTGCCCAGTACTCCAAATACACGATTGTTCATTTAGGTTCCTTCCATGAAACCTGCGACATATATTTCCTTATTTATGTTTACAAATGTAAAATAGTTCAGAGGAACACAAGGGAATTAGTCAGTGCTTATGTTTATTTAATCAGAAATTTCTCAATGTGATCAGTAGCTTCTAACCAGCGGGTCACTTAGGCAGGCGCAAATCACGTCTGGTCATATAACAGCACAAGTGAAGTAGAAAAGCAGACTGCATGAATTAGTGAAGAGAGGGCAATAGTTGATGAGCCAGTAGATTTGCATATAACACGCCAAAGATCAAGATCCTCTTTTTCTACACTTTCACTGTTTCACCGAGACACATGCGACTCGGCTGGAGCCTCACCTATGGGTTTTGAAAGGAAGATTTCAGCAGAAATTTTGTCTTCCTCCCCAATGACATTGCACGTCTTGCACAACAAAGCTAATAACACAGGAGGTCATGCAAGTGGCATTTTACCATTTATCTCATATTAAGTGACTCGCCAACAAACTGAGTCACCAGTAGTGCTCTTCCCTTGAACAGTTGTGCCAGATACATCACTTGCATTTTCACCGATTGACGCACCTAAAGCATTGTCAATCAAAAATATCATATCTACAAAATATTACTCCCCACTCTCCACACTCTATTTCCGTTCTCAAAGGTTGAGATATATTTTTGCGTTGCTCATCTCCTACACACTTGACGACAACCAAGCCCCAAACTCACCAGACTTCGTCAGTGGCAGCACCCCTTACTCTACAATTTAGTTCCTCACGTCTAGTCCCATTCATTTTGCGCTATTCAGTGGTGCAGATAAGTAGGATAGATGAAAACGACATAACTTACTAACACTTCTACATAACACTTAGTCTGTGCTTTTACTGCATCTAAATGGCAATTTCCAATCGACTGCAGGCTGTCCAGGAATACCAAACAGTCCACTTCACATACGATTACCTCATCATATCCAATGTGAATGCACATTTTGGTCAACCATAAGGTGTACACATGGAAGTATAAACTTCAAACTCAATGTTTACTTCAGGGATATTAACTTATAAAAAGTACCCCAATATCACATTACCTTTGTGTTCGGAAGTGGCTTTATTGAGAGGTATTTCTGGCGTTGCCACGGTTTCATTTATTCCATTGTTATTGCCTACAAATATAAGAGAGTTTGGAGGAACACAAACAGAATTGTCGACGCTTATGTTCATTTGAGCAGACATTTCTCCATGAGATCAGTAACATTTAGGCAGAGGAACTGTTTGAGAGGTGCTAATCACATGTGAACATACGACCATACAGGTGAGATTGCGAATATATTCGTGTAAAACTACCGTGTACTTCGAGAGCGTGGCCGTTCATTTGGGATACTCCATTTATTTTAACGACGTGTGGTCATTTGTTTAAGATTGCAAATGTAAAATAGTATGGAAGAACGCGAAAAAATGATCAGTGCTTATGTTTATTTAAGTTGATATTTCAGTATGAGCCAAGTAGCTTTCTGCAACTGGATCAATCAGTCGCTAATGTCCTTTGAGGATACCACAGCACATGTGAGATGATAAAGTAGCCTGCAAGAATTGACCAAGAGAAGAGAATTGTGGATGTGTCAGAAAAATTGCTTAGTTCATACCAAGGGTGTAGACTCTGGAACCATGTCGATCAGATTATGTGACATAGTCAGAGGCTGTTTAGATGCCTTCGCCTCGAAAACACTTGATTGACTACCACAATCACAACCTCACACTCCCAAAGGCCATACCTGCCTCCGTATCACTCACCCTCTCTCCCTCAATCTACCTGTGTGTGTGTTTTAATGATACGATTTGAGATAGCCAAACGATTAGATCTAACACGTTCCATTGTCGGCACACAAATTTCAATGTGTAGCAAATTATGCGCTATCAAATCTACCTTGTTGATACACAACTGATGAATATCCGCAAGTATAGAAGTTTAACTAACATATCACTAGTGTGATGAGATTACTAATGCGTGAATAGGAATCCTGACGATTTGGTCTCCAAAAGCCATTGGCAGTTTCACTTACTCTATAATTTAGTCACTCATGTTTAGTCCCATTCAATTCATATGAGAGAAGTAGGCCACCTCAACTTCTTGTCGAGCCCATGTAATCCACCTAGCCAGTGGCCTCTTTGGTACCTTCTTCAAGACATTCCTTGATATCCTACCCCAATCTCACACTCATTCAGCCCCTCCCTTCCCACCGTACCCCCACAATCTCTCCCTTAGGCCATTTCTGTCTCCTTCACTTCCTCTCTCGACAACCCCCTTCCCCCCGCACCTATCTAAACATCTCTCTACCAGCCTCAACGCGATTAGAAGATAGCAGTGGAGAAATTCAATCAATTAGAACCAGCACACCTTTTTAGGAACACAATTTCAACTTGCAGCACATAACGTGATTGCATATCTAACTTGATGAAGCATGACTGGTGAAAATCAATCATTTTAGAAGTAAAATTTTCTCACATTGGTGTCCGTTCAGATAGGAAACATGAAACTTTAGTCATTCCAACGAAGTATCAATTTACCTTTATCTAATACTTACTCACTCGAATCAGGTCTCGTTCAATCAACCCCAAACAACAGTGTCGATAAGTATAATATTTAAAATTCTCTGTAACTTGCCTGCATTTCTGCCTGACTCTTTACCTGCACTTTCATTGTTGGCAAGAGGTACTTTCGAATTGACTGAAGTACCGTCTAGGTGATTTCAAAAAACATAGATCACATACAATCATCTCATCACATCCAATGTAAACGCACGGTTCAGTCAACCAAGAAGTGTGCAAATGGAAGTATGGAAGTGACATCATATCACTCCCTTCATACTAAACCGCAAAACTAAATAACTAACTCACCGTCGGGACCGACCTCTTCGTCAGAAGAGAGAGGTGTAACATGGTCGCCTCCTTTTTTGGGCCTCCTGTGGCCTTTCTTGCCTTTTCTGTTGTTCTCTTTTTTTCTTGCAGCACCTAAAATGCATACTCTCAATCTTACTTGTAGCCATAACCTTACTTTTAACTTCGTTTTATCAACTTCAAACTGTGCAAAATCTCACTAATTGCAATGTTTGGTCACTTTCATTGGATCACATCATTTCCAGATATCATTTAACTGCTTAATCTAGGGATTATAAAAGAACTTTTTGGCTGGCAGATTTAAAGAGAATGATTGTCAAACAATGTGACATAGAAGAAGTTGGCCACCTCAACATCGTGTTGAGCCTTTGTAATGCACGTAGCCAGTGGCCTATTTGGTACCTTCTTCAAGACAATTCTTGATATGCTACTTCAACTACACCCTCCTTCAGCCTCTCCCCCCAATATCTCTCTATTAGGCCATAACTGCCACCTTCTCCAAATCAACTAACTCGCCGGTGTGATTGCTATCCACGGCATCACCCCTGTCATCTTCATGTGCCTCACCTAAGACATTACCAAGGCATTGTCATTCAACACCATCGAATTTATAGATGCTGCGAGGGTTCATAGACGTACTACTTTCAGAAAGACTTTTCTGAATGCACTTCAGAGCACGTGAAAATACCAATATTTCTGTACACCTTCAGTCTCAAAATTTGCAAATTAGACATCGTCAAATGCAAAGTGGCCAATCTCAACATATCCAACTGTGAGCTTACCGAGTTTTCAGAGAACCGCATTGATATAATACACCCTGGGAATATTCGCTTGAGCACAGTTCAATAGGTACCCACAATAATACATCATCAAAGTTCAAAATTTGCTGAAAGCTTTCACTTTCAGCTCGTTTCCTCAGCAAAGTCGCGTTATTCAACACGCTCCATCGTTTGTTTTATGTGATTATCAAGTCATTTTTAATCACTCTTACTGGAACCAGAAATTTAACGATAGCATAACTTTATTCTTACTTACATAAAAACCTACTATTTTCTTTATATCTTTATTTGTTGTTTATTATTTTATAAATATTCAGAAAATGGGTTATTATACGCATGTACTACCTGCGTTATTGCGCTCAAATGATCGGCAAAAGATTATCATTTCGCTTCTTTTGTACAAATTTGGAGATGACGTTTCCTCATTGTTTGTTATATCTTTACAGAATTCTTATTGATTTAAGTAATACTGAGTTATGAGTTTCTATTAGGTCAAACTGAATTTGATCTTTCCTACTGATCTTATGTTCCAACGCGTGGTTTTAAACGTAAACCTACTTTACTATGAGGACAGAAAGTGAGGACAGAAAGAAGCTTAAGCTGTTTATTTTCAGTGAGGTATTTCAGATTTTTTATGGTACTGTCAATGCAATGAGATTGTACTGTAGCAACAAGAAGTGCCGTAAGAAAGTGGGGAAGACAAAGCACTCTTGTAGAGTGTGAGGGTAGATCTGTGGATTTTGGTATATGGAATAAGTGCAAATAAGCAACTTTGTTCTGACAGGCTACGTGACCGTTCTGGATCATTTTGGAAGCAAAATATCATAGCACACATGCATTTATTTTTGGCCCAAAATTTGGTTGTTGGCAATTAAGGTTTAGAAATTTTATAGTGGTAAAAAATCGCGATGCACTTACCTCACGTGGTGTATCCTGGACATAGTATACTCAAGGGACAAAAGAATCGATAAAACTGCAATTGACTTCTCACTTCAATCAGTACTCACCATGCCCTTTTCTCTACCTTTGTGTGTGTGTCTCTTTTACATCTGTGAATCACTCTACTTCCTCAACTCCTCACCCCTCCACCTCCTCCTCCTCCTCGATTTTTTGTGACTGATGTTCCTCCTCTTTATGAAGCTCCAAGTCAACCAAAGGACCATTTATAGCTAACATAAAGCCAGTTATTTGACATAATTAAATCTCTAAATTCCAACAACGTGAATTTATTATCTCCAATACAAAATTAAAGTTTCATGTGAAATGACATATTTCTAATTGGCATCATTATTAGACACCTTCACACGTGCAAAATATTCCATTTGCAACTTTTGTATGACCTATTTTCACGGTTTATTTACTGTTAAATATATCTGTGGTGTTTGCAGCCCTTTCCAGAATGATTGATGTCATGAGATCCTGTATGTGATGAGTATTCTAATCGCGAAATAAATGCAAAAACGATTTGTGAACTAAGTTCAACAATTTGTCGAATTGGCGAAAAGAAGAGTTCAAATCGGAGTATATGCTTTCGAAATAAACTTCAGTTTCAGCATTTGAGTAATCCGTTTATGCTATAAAAGTAGCATGATGATATCTGAAGACGGGGTGTATTTCGGTGGTTCTTATCAATTCAAGTCAGGTGAACCAGTTGAAGTGTTTATTGAATTGGCAAAACTCCACTGCAATGAGTAAGACAGTATGGGCTTTAATTGCCAATTTTAGTTCCTTTATACCTCAGTGGAATGTCGAGTGCTCAAGTACTGGTCTTAAGGTATTTAATGACATTAAAATGGATTTTGAAAAAGAAAATGACTTCATTACCTTCAATTATGAATACCCTGTAAACGTAAGCCTCTTTCTTGTTAAAATTTATAACGAATTCTCTCCCATTTCGCAGAGTTTAAGAGGCCGAAATATATGCGAATCTATATATGATGAACTTAAAAATCAATGTTAATATATAAATTGTGCAAACAATTCCTGCACACAAACGCTTTTTAAATGTCTTTAAATAAATATGCTTCAATGTGTTGCTCTTATTCTAATCTCATTTTTTCACACGTCTTAAGAGAGCATTCATTTCTCATGATGAGCTGTTATCGATGGCAAGTCTCTTAAATCAGATAGCAATGAACTAGTCAGTCAACAAATTAAATTCGTCCTTGCTTCGAATTTTGCTTGCTCAAGCTTGTTCATGCTTCACTAAAAAAATCAATGTTGTCTTATCGGTGTTCTGGCAAATCTGAGAATGATTAAAAAGAATGATTTGAATTGTTTTGTTTGAGTGGAATGCAATTTGAGGTGTTTAGTTAATGGCCTTAATTACTTCTAACTGATTCGAAGGGTATTTTAGAGTCTCCGAGAGTGAATTACCCAGAGAAATATCAATATCAACACTCAAACGTTTCATTTCATTAAAGCTCACATTCAATTCCTCTGTTAAGCAAATTGCTGTATTGAAAGTCAGCAAGTGGCATTTCACTACTCACTTCTTATTGACTAACTGACTCACCGATAGTGCTGGTCTCTTGCACAATTGAGCGCGATGCATCACTTCCATTATTTGCCCTTTCCGCAACTAAAGTATTACAAAAGCATAGTCAAACAAGTGCATCATTTCAGCAGATTTTGGATGCGTTGCTTTACCAAACTATTCTCAAAAAATACTACCCTGAGTTCACTTACAAGTAAGTCACCTTTCATCAGTCTTTGTCAGGCCCGAAATTTTAGGAAGCATTAATAAATAAATTGCAAAATTAATTCTTATTTTGTTAGAACTCTGATATCAAGATTGCCCAATTTAGAGTTTTAAAGTTTTAAGAAGCAAAGGGAGCTCGAGTTGTCTTGACAACAAATATTTTTGAAATCTCATTGAAACGAGATGATCTTTCGATCAAAATAACACCAACAAGGGACAAATTTAACTCACCTAGTGTATTTGTTGAGGTAGAATTTTGAACGTTTGATGTGATATTGACTTCTAAATGTTGAAAACAGTAAAATATAACTTTTTGTTTGAAAGTGGGAAATGCTAAATTAGCATTCAACAGGAGAAAAGTATTTCTTCAATAGAAGAGGTACTCCATACTTGCTGCTCAATGCCATAAATGAGTTCCACTAATTTAATCCGAAATTAAATTTCCACACTTACGTTGGGGAGGAGACTTGTCAAGAGAAACTTGGGCTGAGTAATCATTCTCGTATACTAGCTCGGATCCTTTGTAGAGTTGATAAACATCCTTAACTAATGCATATAATGTTGTGTTCCCCAATGGAAGGGTGGTTGAGCATTCAGTTGTTTCTTTCGTCAGCCAATTCGAGCCATCGTTATTGTATAGAACCAAATATTTCTTCACGTACACTCCGATAATATTTATTGGATTCCATTTAAGAAGTGCTGTAGTTTCATTTATTTTTTCCAGTGGACTAATTTGTGGAGGCTTGTGTTCTATTTTCAAGGAAGAAATCAGTTACACACATTCAAAATTTTAACCTCGAAAATCTGTACAATTGCGATTTCACTGTAACAACGCAAATATTAATTAAGGAGAATGACTATGCTAATGCCTCTTTATGAAGGCCTGAACTTCTACAGAGGCGTAGAAGTCGGGAGATTTGTGCATTTTTTGCTTTCTTTATTTCTTTATTTGTTGTTTATTATTGTAAAAATATTCAGAAAATGAGTTATTATACGCATGTACTACCTGCGTTATTGCGCTCAAATGATTGGCAAAAGATTATCATTTCGCTTCTTTTGTACAAATTTGGAAATGACGTTTCCTCAGTGTTTGTTATATCTTTATAGAATTCTAATTGATTTAAGTAATACTGAGTTATGAGTTTCTATTATGTCAAATTGAAATTGATTTTTCCTACTGATCTTATGTTACAACGAGTGGTTATAAACGTAAACCTACTTTACTATGAGGACAGAAAGGTGCTTAAGCTGATCATTTTCGATGAGGTATTTCAGAGTTCTTAGAGTACCGTCAATGTAATCCCCCCCCCCCCTTTATGCCCAAAGCGAACCGTTCCAGCAATTTAAAACTTCCATTTCAACTGGCCTGTTCGGACGCAGTAAATCGCTGTGTGTGTGTGTGCGTGTGAGCGGCAACTACTTCAACTTTCCAGAGATTGAATGAATGCGTTGCCTCTTCCACTTTCCACCTTAATCCTAACGTATCATCTAGCTTTTAAAAGCTGTTTATCTCATGATTGCCTTTTGAAATTGCCTTATTTTTGAAAGAAAAGCTTAGCTGAGTTTCATTAAATCTAACAAGCAACAGCAATATATCTTGTTGAACTTACTTGGGGGAATCTTTATAAGTTTCACTCTACTAGATTCTTTTCCATTCTTGGTATTATCTGTTCCATCATTGAGTTTGTAAACCCCCATGACTGATGCGGTCAACTTTTCCTTTTCAAATGGAAGAATGACTTCACAATTCTCCGTTGTTTTCTTCAACCATTCTGAATTATCGGCAATGTAGTTTACCAGATATTCAGCCAATTCCACTCCATAATGGTTTAATGCATTCCAAGTAAGACGTGCCGAAGTGCTATTTACTTCCTCCAGTGTGACATTTTGAGGAGGTTCGAGCTGACCTATTAATAAAGCAACATTTAATATAAGTAACTTCAACTCACCTATTAAGTTAGCTGTGCCAGATGGGAGACCGTTCGATGTGATTCCCTCTTCTAAAAGTCAAAAATGCCGAGTTTATTGTTTTTGAAAATATAGAGATACTTAATTGAAATTTCACAATATAAAATTATTTCTTCAACAGAATTTTTATTTCATAATTGCTGTTCAGTGCAATGAGCACGTTTAAACAATTATAAAACTTGCAAATGTAAGTAATCATGTACAAAAAAGAGAATATGTGTTATACCTGAAAAAATATAAGCAATCATTTACAAACCTTCAACTTACTTATTTCATTTGCTGAGGTAGAGCTTGGATCTTTCGATGTGATTCCTGTATCTAAATGTAGAAAGGCCGAAGTTAACTTTTTTTGCAAATATAGAACTACTAAATGTGTATTGTATAATTGAATTTTCTCCTTAATAGATGGCTTAATCCATACTTTTCGATCTATTCAATAAATACGTTCAATTACTTATATTAGAATTAAAATTTGTAGAATTACTATATCTTCAACCATTGCGTCAAATAATACTTTAGGTCTACTGTGCTGGTGCAGACAAGCTACCGAATGTTAAAAGCCAGAGTTCCCGCGAAACCGGCAAGATCTTTTGTAGAGTACACAGTGGTATGTACTAGTGCGGCGTAAACAGTCTATTTGCACTTCTATAAAAAGCATGAAAATATGCTCTTTGATTTCACATTTTTAAAATCCACTATTCTATTTTTTACTTAATTATAACTTAATTTGAGCAAATAATCATTAGTAATCAATAATATTAGAAGGCAAAATGAGAAAATTATTAAATCAGCAAATTGAAGATGAAAGTCTCGACTTACTACTTTGAGATTGTACAACGACAACAACAAGTGTTAAAAGAAGGTAGAAAAGGCAACGCATTCTCGTGGAGTGCGTGGGTAGATTTTGGTTGATATTTATATACTGTTCATATAACACCTTTGATCTGACAGACTACGTGACCGTTCTGCATCAGCAGTGCTTATTGATATGGCATCAAGATTCTCATTTTGGGAGCAAATTTTCATAATACACATGCAATTATTGCAGAACCAAAATTGATAAGTTGACAATTAAGGTTTAGAAATTTCAATAAAGTAGCTAATGGTTGCTTCTCCAACAGATGGGTCAGTATCATTCACAAGGCAGTGAAAATGATTAAGTGGCTTCACGAGGTATATCTTGTGCCTGTCAAACTGAACACACGACTATTTCCAATGCAAAACTACTTACATTCTAACTATCCAACTAACTTTCAAACATCACTTCCACAATATATACGAATAGATATAGCTTTGATCTCTGTAGAAGATTTCCACTTTGTTATAGTCGTAGGAAGTGTACATGCAGTAAATGTTCTAGAACCCACGAGCATTGTGCAGATTTCAAAAGTTTAATCTCTAAGTTTGGGCCGTGAAATGCACTTACCTCACGTGGTGTATCCTGGACATAGTATACTCAAGGGACAAAAGAATCGATAAAACTGCAATTGACTTCTCACTTCAATCAGTACTCACCATGCCCTTTTCTCTACCTTTGTGTGTGTGTCTCTTTTACATCTGTGAATCACTCTACTTCCTCAACTCCCCACCCCTCCACCTCCTCCTCCTCCTCGATTTTTTGTGACTGATGTTCCTCCTCTTTATGAAGCTCCAAGTCAACCAAAGGACCATTTATAGCTAACATAAAGCCAGTTATTTGACATAATTAAATCTCTAAATTCCAACAACATGATTTTATTATCTCCAATACAAAATTAAAGTTTCATGTGAAATCACATATTTCTAATTGGCATCATTGTTAGACACTTTCACACGTGCAAAATAATCCATTTGCAACTTTTGTATGACCTATTTTCACGGTTTATTTACTGTTAAATATATCTGTGGTGTTTGCAGCCCTTTCCAGAATGATTGATGTCATGAGATCCTGTATGTGATGAGTATTCTAATCTCGTTATAAATGGAAAATCGATCTGTGAACGAAATTCAATAATTTGTCGAAGTTGCGAAAAATAGAGTTCAACTGTAATATGGCTAAATATATTTGTCGTTCTTCTTGATACAGATTTGTATTGAACCCATTCTTCATTTTATTCTCAGAGTCCATCAATGATTACTGTCGATTTATTTTTTATATAAAGAATCGTTTGTAACCAAGATCCGACTGCCGAAACATACTCATCTTTATTGACTACACAGCTAAGTAATATTTATGCGGCTTGACCTTGCCCAGGAAAGCGGAATTGTCACCGATGATCAGATTGGAGAAGCAGACCAATGGGTAAATTTGCCTTTATTCATTTGAGGAAACAGTTAAACATTTTCAGGCTACTTGTTTTATCATAGGATGGAGAGATTGATTAAGTCTAAAGAACGAAAAATATCGCTGAATTCTGGAGATAAGTGTGAAATTTAGGGGATTCTTCAAGGCAAATTCATAAAGAAGAAATAGGTTGAGAGAGATCATTTATGGACTAACTGTGCAGATGCTCAAAAGTTTGAAAATGATAGCGGGCAAATTGATAAGTGAATGCTTATCCCACATATCACCATGGCAATCAAAATATTCATAAATGATCTAGTTGCTATTTGATACGGTTGAATTTGTTTATTAGCCGGCAAAAAACTTTTCCAATAATCCAAATCAAGACTTGCAACAAAAATGTGCTCCCAAACACGTCTTTCTAGACAAAGTATTTGCTAGCACACGCAACAACTTTAAGGTATACCTGGAAATCAAGGGAAATATAAGACGTCTACTCAAATGCTTGGGTCATTGCCTTTATAACCCTATTTTCAATGCAAAATTGCTTAATAGAATTGAAATATTTGCCAAAAGTTAATGCATGATAGAGTAAAGAAATAATTTTGTCGTTCAAATGGAAAGTTTTCAGTTAGGTAGTTCAACTTTGCATATTGCAAATGGCTTGGGTTTGACTAAAATTCAACGAAAACGAAAGCAAACGCTTCTTTAACTGTGCACACACACACACACACATTGAGGGTCCATTGAGGCAACATTATATGGCATGGAAGTTCGTCTTGAGGTCAGTAATTGAGAATCGCTGCCTCCCCACCCCCCCCCTACCCCGGAGCTTCCATTTATACTCCTCTGCTTCAAGCCTATTAAATTATGCTTATGGAATTCAATATCCCCTTGTTTTCCTTAAATGGGGTAACTGCTTGGTAATTGGCTATTTTTAAAGAAAAGGTCTAAATAAAGTAATTGGTTAAAGTTTGTACAAGCAGACGCTAGTTAACTTCTGTAAATTCACATTGAATTATTACCATCAACTTCACCATGTAGGCTCCAATCGAATAATCCATCTAACAACAACAAGAAATTCTATATCTTCTCACTAAGTTCAGTTAAGTAACGAATTGATGGAAAGAACGTGCTCCTAGAAATGTCAAAATATTCATCATCAAAAGGTGTACTCAACTGCTATGCCAAATATTTGGGAGTACAACACACACACACACTTGCCTTAGAATATGGCAAGTTCTGAAAGAATAGCTGAATAAAAATTTGAAAGATAAAATTAAGGCATTAATTTTTTTTGTGAAAAGTGAGAGCAAGCGCCCACCTAGCCCGAAAGACCACTGTCTCATCCCACTCGGTTGAGGAACATTAAGATGAAAGTGTGTTCCATTCTAATTTAATGCCTCGCTGATCTCTAGTTTGAATTCCCCAACAACCCCCCGATTGTACATCCTTGTGTATTTTTGTTCTAGAATCGATCAAATAATTTGTGATAACGTAAGTGGGAAAACAAAGTCGCTTACGTGCTTTTTTCTCGTTCCTGATTACTAACCAGATAAAATACGAGTGTGCAAAGTATCTACTTCGGATGTTCGAACGATTGCAAAAGTCGAAAACAATTTACCATCAACCTTTGCCTCTTTGGTATTATTAAAATTTCAGCAGTCATTTTTTATCATTATTGAAATAGCACAAAACTGATATCTGTTGATTTTTCCAAACCATTTTAAAAATAAAAACCAATGGTGAACAAATTGATAGAAATAAATAACCCAAAAATATCGACAGCTTCCTACTAATTAGATTTAAGTAGAGCACACAATATCAATGAAGGAAAATCAACAACGCCAATGAGGTGGTATAAAGACAGTATATTTCATCACACACTTTATTACTGATTATTGCAAACGCTGCTTCAATTCATTTACATCACCCAAACCACCCGAGAAGTGACGGCTCGGCATATAACTCCTGTCGGCCTCGTGAGCCCTCCCAACAAACCAATCACCAGCCATCGGGGGTCTCCATTCAGAAGCTGATTGGTAGCCAGGTGGGGTGACACGACGCTGAGCAGCCAATAGACGTGATTCCAGTACATCCAATGCCCGACGGGAGATAATTAGACTATCATGGTGCACCATGGACCAGACATTCAATCCATGAACTGGCATGAGTGTCAATCCTCGACCTGGATGGACACTTCGGGGTGCTGCATACTGGGAACCCTCACGAAGTCTAGCTTGAATTGCGGCCGATTCCGGTGCAACATCGGATTCAATATAATGAGCGTAACTGGCGCAAGCGAGAGCCATAGCCAGACCACTGCTCGTTTCTTCGTCACTATCCAAATATGTCTCCACACTAAAATGGGGAGAAGAAAGTGGATGACTGTTGTTGTCGGCTTACTAAAAAGAAATTAGTTGTAAATGCGAAGGCTGGGAGGAGGTTGAAGATTTTCTCCTAAATGTTTCTTTTGAAAACAGTTTTGGTCGATGTTAATTAAAACGATCTGATCAAAAATCTTGCTTGTACTTTTTCTGCTTGGAAAATTTCCAAGTAGAGCATTTAGACTAATCAATCGTTCTCATCGTTTTCCCTATAGCTTAAAAACTGTCTGTAAAAACTATCGAATCTCGAATAATGCAGATTCTCAATCATTGCACTCTAAAAATATTCCTTTGCTCGATTTTCGTTAATGTTAAAAAGCTATCTTGCACTCCAGTTCGATTCTAAATTGTTTGTGTCAGTAAATTCTATTCAAACTTCAACTCTTGGATTGCCTGTGATGTGGAAGTCTGCTGTTGATCTGATAGCTCCAGCACATCTTTATAGATTGCTTTCACAAAATCCTACAATACTCTTCCAAACCCCATAACCGAGCGCTTTATAAAGAAGGTTTCAAACAGTGGGTGGGACATACGTTCAACTTGAAAGCCAGTCATTTTAGCCTAATATATCTCTCTTTGGTAGTGTCCGCATTTTTAAACCTTCGATTAACTAATTAAAACACAATACATCTACTTTTGAAGACAAAGTAGTTTCTGAAATACATGATGAGAAAATTTGCAAACAAAATACTCATTTATAAACATTTAAGAGTTGTGCTTACGTCGACATATTGAAAGGTAACTTCATATTAAGGCCCTAGGCCTATGAATATTTCAAAAAATACCAAATTATCCAGATTCTGCAGAATATTACATATAGACTAATGAAAACTCGGACATAAGTGTAAAACCAAACGAAAACTATGCTCCGCAATTAAATACCGATCACGGGCGTAGCACAGAAACGTGCAGGCGAAGTGATCACTGCACACTGAGTGGGCGGAAAGGACAATTTCACCGCATAAGACTGGCTAACAGAGAAGACCGTAAATTTGGAGTTCCCCACGAAGGAAGCTACATGATGCATGCCAAAATGGGTTCAATTTTAAAGGGATTTGGTGGCATTAGAAGAAAATAGACTTAAAAAGCACGTACTCTGTAATAAAGAGACAAGCAGGTCCCCAACCGCGTTTATCCACCAGTTCTCTGAGGTACTGTGCGGCACGATACCCAAGATTTGCAGCCTCGGCTGCTCGGCCACCCCTAATAAGATCCATCAACTCCTCAGACTCCTCTTTATCCCGGGCGATAGCGGAGGTTAAGACGTCAAGGCTGTTGGCTTTGGGTTCTTGAGCTGTGAGATCTTCCAAAGACCGCAAACGTTGAATTACAACGTCTTCATTTGGGTCTGTAGGATTCAGACGAAATCGGTTTTGAGCCCGTTTGTTGGCCAGATTGTAGATCTCATTGGCTTCTGATTCTAGATCCTTGGAAAGTGTGAAATCTTCTGTAATGTGCAAATCGCCCTACAAGGAAGAAATTCTATATTTGCTAACATGAGCACAACATATTAAATCCATTTTCGTATTGGAATAACAAATATTAGACTATATTCGAAAATTTTAATTCTTAAATGTTCCCAATTATAGGAAAAATCTAAAATTTATACAAACGTAAAAGAAAAAGGATTGCAGGGGAAATAGTTCAAAGCACTCTGGTCCATTAATTATAAGTAATAAAACTAGGATCGGCTTGAATAAATTAAGCACCTTAATACCTGCACTACCAGTTAATTTAAGCAAAGGAAATGACTAAAAGACAAATAATTGTACCCTGAGAAGAGAAACTAACTTGAGCTTGTTTAGCACTTAGCATTCCAAGCAATCCATAGAGTCTAACTGAGTAGGGTAAAATGGAGAAAAAAGATTCAGGCCCACGAGGTCCATTACACTGGGCACCACCCTTAAAAATATGCGTCCTTCGGTTCCCATGACGAGCACGACCAGTACCCTTCTGTGGCCAGGGTTTACGACGACTACGGTGTACCAAATCAGCACGAGTTGTTATACAGCGCCAATCCTAATGCAAAGGAAAAAGATGTTTCCAGTATAGCAGCTAAAATATGGGAAATAGCGCGCCAAAAATAACACTCACAACGATGCGATAGTGTGCTTGCCAATAGAGGTTCTGGTGAACAAGATCAAGGCGGGGGAATGTGGCGAAAACATCTGGATGAAGGTCAACAATGTCGAGGTACCGTTCCCTTTCTTCGTCAAGAGATTCAACCCATACTTGGCGTGGCAAAACATTTCGATGTGAACAAGTGATTGATGGTGAAAGCCTTCTTGACTGGGATAAGAAACAATTTGGAACTTCTTTACGCGCAGTTTGATAATTGATTTCAATATCTTTTAAATCAGAAGTTCTATCGCCTGATTTGCGTCCTAGAAATGAGTTAGATAAGCGAGATGAGCAACTGAGAAATGTCGATATATTAGCCTAAAATTGATAAGAGACAGTAAATTTCAGATTAAATTGAAGACAAAAAAATAAAACTTAAAAAGAGATTGAAAAGTAACTAAAACCTACACGTAAAAGACCATTAGACCACATAGAGCAGAGATTCATTAGCACGATATCTATTATATTCTATTCGAGTTCTGATTGGGTAAAATAAAGAGACTGAAACCTCTAATAAATCGCGTGATTGTTGGCTTCTTCAAACTATAACTTTCTTGAAAACTACTTTATTCCAAACGTAGAAAACCATGGAGAGAAGGAAATTCTTACTTTTATTATTGCAAAATAGCTTGTAAATAAACGAAGTCGAAAATTTCTTTACATGAAACTCATAAGTTCAGATTGTCGATTAACCAATTTGTTACATTTAGCATTACACTTTGAAAGTGACCTAACTTACTCGTCAGCTTAATTCAATAATGTCGCAGCACCATTCTTCGTTATAAAATATCCTAGTTAGCTGTTGATTACATGATTTTACCAAAAGATAATGAAACGCAAATTACCTAAAATGCAAATAGATAATTATCGAAAAAATGAAGATTTTGGAACTAAAATTGAAATAAATTAACTTTTATATTTTTCTGCCTTTCATGATAGCATGAAACCTAAAATTTGTAGATGAAATCCAGAAACTACTATATATTGGGTACACCGTTTTTGCTAGCCTTGCTTTTAATGATATTTTTGTTGATACAATTCCAGTTTTTTTAATTATTAAATGAGTTTTTGATTTAAAATAATCTAGTTGCTCGCACCTGGCCTTGAAAAGATAAGGGTAGGAAACTATCTACGAACTGTGTCGGAAGAATGTCATTTGTGAAGCTTTTCCTTTTATCTTTCTAGTTTAATAAGATGGATAAAGTGTGCACTTGTGAATCCTGTACTATTCAGGGTTTTGATAGTAGTGATAATCCATCTCATTCATTTTCCACTCAAGAGGAGTTAATTCAGCATATTACACATCATCATTTATCCAAGAAAATCGAGAATGGTCGTACGATTTTCGTGTGCACGTATGTAGTAAAACTTTTGGATTGCAAATAACACTCGTTATCTATGAAATCTTCAAATAAATGCTGCTTTTTGTAGATATGGCTCTTCGGGTATTTGTAGTATGTTAAATTCAATTCATTCAAATCCACAAAGCTGTGTAACTTTTGAGTCAGAATACGAATATGAGCGCCATCTCGTGACCAAGCACCTTATCAACAATCTACAGTCTGGTAGCCTTTCTCGGTTTAAGAAAAGCTCTTTCTTCGAACCTTGTAAGCATTTACATTCTATGTAGGCACTCCGTTGACCTTCTTACAACTTTTATCTTTGTGCGGTACAAATAGCTTCACTTTCCTGGATGCAGCATGATTCTGTTGTCAATATGGCTGCTGTTCTAAATGATCCTACCGATAGGCAGGTATATTTGAAGTTTGTTGATACTTTATCATTTATGTTGGATAAAATGTTCTAAGTCTAAGATTAGGCTTTTTTCTGCTCAGTTGGATATATTTTCCCGCTACTGGGGGGAAGGATTTGAACGTGCAACCGTCCCTCCCTTGAGAATTCCTGTTATTACGGAGGAACACTTCTTTCCATACTTATCTATTCTCTCCAAACGTAAAAAAATTTCTCCTCTTCATCAAACACCTTCTCCTCACCACTCTGGTAAGTACATGGTCAATTGATTTTGCTTTATACCAATAATTGTTATATTGCGAAGAGGATAGGATTTAGTTATGATGTTATGGGGGCTTACTTCTAAGAGTTCCTATGCTGTTTTACCTCGCTCTCTTCTCAAATTTCAATCCTCATTTGTTCTCTTCCTAATACTTTGCTTCATTTTTGTATGCGAGCTTATATAACTAATAGTACACTATCTTCATTTGCTATATTTGCTCATTTATATTAGGGTTGAATTGTCCAGCATGTATGGATGCATATAATTAGGGTTTTCTGCTGCTTCGAAGACATCTCTTATATCTACCTTCTAAGCGTAAAATCTAGGATCGCTATGAAGTCACCCACTTCAAACCGTTAAATTGCCATTGTACACAATTTGAGAAGACTTTAGAGTTCCAGAGTACATCTATTTTGATTAAATACAAATCGATCTGAGTTTTCAGTTGTCTACTTATTAGTACTCAAACACATCTGAATGGAGAGAGCTTTTTAGAACTTACTCGATGTTCTGAATATTAGATAGAATATGGCAAATAATCTAGTAAATCGCCAATCGTTGTTGCTTCACGTTCTTCTTTTCTCATTACTCGTGTTCTTTCAGGTGGTGAGTGTTTCTATCCACAGTGGGTAGTTTATTAAAAATGCATTAATACATCACTCGTTGTTTATGTGAAGGTTCCCAAATTGGTAAGATTTTTGTTACCTGTCCGAAGTTTAAGGCACAGTTAAGGTCCTGCAAAAGTTTCGTTTTGTTTACGCAATGCTATAAGGTACACGCCTGTAATCGCAGTTTCTTTCAGTACTGATCCTCTTAACTATGATCGAGTATTTCTGAATCTTTACATTTACCGAATTCCTACTGTAATCATCCCAGTTGTCAGTAGAAATCGTTGATCATATACTACGACAAGTGTCTTGTGAGGTAATTTCTTAGGAGCTTTCTTAGTTTTGCATCGATTATATTCTTTTTTCCCTTCATCTTCCTTCCTTTGTACTTATTTTTTGGTTCTCTGGATTTGCTACTCTTCTATGTGATATGCATATTTATTTTCAGAATCTTTAGCTTACAGCTGAGTAAATGTATATAATATTAACAATATTTGGATCGTCGAAGGACCTCCTTTAAATGGCGTTAAGATCTGAGGATAACATAATTTTAAAATGTGATCAATTTTCGTTAGATTATTTGGTTGAATTTTCTTGTTAGTTAAGGATGATGTTTCCCACCTGTTTGTTTAGCTGGCATCGGCTGAACCACTTAAAACAACCACAAAGGGTCTTAATTGCATTTTTCTGTTGTTTTTTCGTGTTTTATTCTGTTATTGATCAGAGCCTGATTCGACAATGGTGTGGCACATTTAGATAAGGCTCTAATGAAGGCTGTTCACGGGTGTTCCTTTTTCGTTCAAATTGAAGAGAAAGGGTATATAGGTGCCCCAAATAACGTTTCCTTTTCACTTTTTATACGCCTACATATAATGAGAATAGGCGTTGAGAATTTATTCGCCACCTGGTTAGCCAATGCTACCAATGGAAACCGCATTTCCTAGTACGCAAATTACTTACATTAATCGAACTTTCAAGTGTTCGTAGCTTCGAAAGTGTTCTAGTCAGTGTAACTTTTTTCATCATTTGTTGGTGCTTTTCAATTTGTTTACTTTTTGTTAAGTAGTCTGAAGCAGTCTACCATTCAATACCGCTTTTATGAAATACTACATTTAGTGAACTTCAATTTCACTGACCTTCAGAATAAAATCGTTTAAGGTGGAGATTAAAAAGTGATTGAGGTGAAATCTTTAAACATCAGAATGGTAGTAACATTTGTAAAGTGTATTTCATTTTGTCCAATACATATCATTTGCTATAATCTTTAAGCAAATGTTCTAGTAATCGTTAAATGTGTTTATTAAAATTCTTCCACTACTACGATTCTATACTATCCAAGGTTTTCAACCTTTACATATATATCTTATAAATGTCCATTCTTTCATTTTTCCCTTTAGAACCGCTTAATAAGGAAACTGAGAGTGTTTTCTGCTCCTCGGATTTTAAGCTCTCCGACCCTGAAACATTCAATCGAGTTATTCCTTTACATCGTCGACGACAGTGTTCCAATTTGAAGGATATTTTCACTCACCAAAGCGAAAAACTCTCCCAACATCTTGATGCTGTCGAATTAGCGATTGCCAATCACGTAAGTGTCTGGCTGTCTTACCTTTCTGTTTCGCTTTACTGACAAATCTTCATGATACAAGCGGTACTCACAATTTAAAAATCAATTAGGCTCAGTATTTAGCTATTTAGAAGTAATTTTTCGAGATATTCCTTGGTTAGGGAGTATGTTTTAGAAAGCATTGGATTTTAGTCTGTTACATCCTACACCCACCTGACTATTTGCGGAAGATATGAAAGGGCATTACGGGAATCGTAGTACTTATTGGACAACATTTTATAAAGTTAAAGCGCTTACAGATCTATTAGGGTGCAAAAATAGATGAACCAAGTGGCCTAATATAATAAAAATGGTACGAAGAAGCAGTCATATCGCTACATAGCCACTACTCTCTCAAACAGCATGACCTGATATCGAGTATCTTTTTTTATGCCAGTTCCTCCGTGCTCTATTACGTCTGCTTTAATCGGAATTCCTGCGTACTGGGTTGATAAGGCTGCTGCCCTTGGCTACGTCCAATTTTTCACCAGAAACGTTCTTAATCCGTTTGCTTCTCTAGTAATTTTCATTTTCAGTAAATCACGCTTAAAGATTTAGGGCTTTTTAAATCTTGACTTGTCTTGCTTTGGATACTAGCAAGGCATCCTCTACTTTAAAGCATTTAAGTTTGAGCTTTTGTGATACTTTTTTTCTTAATCGTATTTAATTTATTGCACTATTTATGTAAATTGGCACTGGCTGTCTGCTTTGGTGGTAACGGATGTATTGAATATGTTTCAAACAACAATAGTGCCTTTTGTTAAGAGTCTAGTAGCAATGGAACTTATCCTGAAAGAGGACCGTATGGTTCTAACCACGTTAAATGTTTAATCTCACTTTTGTTCAACTTTGTAATAGGAAGAAATTTACGAATAAAGTCATCGGTTATACATTTTAGTAGTTTTATCGATGCATTTTTCATTTTCACTCTTCAGGCTCAGTAATTCGAGTTTTGTCATCAAACTATTCTTGGTGTATTTAGACTAAGTGACGTTATTCTTGAGTCGCTATAATGAGGGGCTCGTGGTTTTCAACTAATTCTGGCCGCTGTTAAAGAGGAAATTTGTTTTATCCACATTATGCCAATCGCAGCAATCTCTCTTTATCTTTACTTTAACATACTCGCACACTAATAATGACTATACTTTATCTTAAGCTTATTTTTTCACATTTTAGGTGTCCGAACGATCGCCGGCGTTCTTTGAAGCTGTTCGAACCCATGATGTTGTGAAAGATCAACTCAGTCAGACCATTTCTCAGGTCAATGCTGCGAGGTATGTTGGGCAGAGCATAGTTGGTAGATTTTCTCTTTCTGCGCGCCAGCATGTAACATAAATTTACATGCTTGTGACATCATTCATACCGTTCTATGTAATGTAATTTATTACAACAGTGAGGCTAACGAGCATGGTTGCCATATTGGTGACCACGAGATCAATTAGGTTACTTTGGAATCACGAGGTAGGCGAATTCCCATCCAAGTACTGCCAAGTTGCCCTCTTTTTGCCCCCCTTAAGTTGGAATGCGTGACCATATTTGTTGTTCAGAGCTTGTCGTCAGCAAATTTGTCCAAAATTAATTACAAAATGTCATACAGTTTTATTGGACAGTGATGAGATTCTTATCGTTTAAAAACTTCGTCACTGATCCTTATTGTTCATATCTTGTGGGGCATGGACGACCAATTGTTCTGATTAAAATTAAGGGACGGTAAATGTGATTCGCCATGAGGACACTAGAATATCCTGTCTTATCACAATATCAAACTCATTTTCACCGTACATCTTCCTAATGCTACTCAAGCGCTTATTTTTACTTTTTTTTCTTAATTAGGACGCGGCTTGAAGAAGTGGACTCAGTCTATTGTCGTAGTGTCGGACAAGTAGTCAAGCTGGCCCGCAGACGGGAGAATCTAAAGAAAGTTTTGGTCAAAGTATGCGGCGAAACACACATCCATCTGTTCTTCATAGTTTAAAAGCATTTGACTAACTTAACAGATAAAATATAGCTTTACGTTTTGTGCAATTTATTCTCGTTTTGTCTTTAAATATTAGTTGAAGATGATACTCTCTGTACATGGCGTTCAGCCCACCATTCAATCTCTCCTCCAAAACAACGACTTCTGTTCTGCTCTGGATCTGATTTCCAACACTCGAGAATCCCTTACCACCATCAACAATACTGCTGAAATTGTCTGTCTTCGTCACCTCGATGCACAATTGACGGAAATTGAAAAATTCATCAATAACATGATTGAATCTGAGTTCGACGTCGCTTTACACTCATTTTTCACCGCGCCTAACAGCGAAACGGTCGTTGATGCTAACACTATCACTGAGGTTTGTCGAAGATATTAACAATTTCGATTTTACTGGTTATATCTAAATTGTGTGCTACTTTTGTCCAACTTTAGGCACTTCTACCGAGTATTTTAGGTCTGGCTAGGATTGGTCAAGCAAATTTCGTCGAAGCCATCGAGAAGGAGATACAGCAGGCTCTCAATGAAACCCTTGAAAAATGCCAGTTATCCCTTCAACCTGTTGAAAATGGCCATGCGTCCGAGGACTCCAAGTTAGTATCTTTAAGCTGTTTGATTTGTTTTGTGTACTTCTTGCAGTCTGTTCAATAGTCTAACTTTATACCTTGATATGTGTGTATTACTTTCAATATCTGCTTACAAGCTTAGAGTTCAATGAAATTCAATATATTGATTCGAACAGGTTCATATCATCTAGAATTCTGTAATGAGAAAGTGACGTGACTCTCTCTCTTTCAATCCAGCCTTCACGTTACGATCTTGATCTTTTTCCACATTTTGTAGAGTTCGCGTAAGATAGTGGATTTCTCAGTAACACAATTAGGGAAACTTTTAATTTACGCATTTTATTTCATAACCTTTACTGTCGTTTTTTTCAATCCATAAGTGCTGTACCTCCCGAAAGCGAATCTTTCAGTGTTTGGCTTGGGAAACTTAAAGCCTCGTGTCTCGATGTGGAGAATCTTGTTACTCGAGTTAAAGTACGTTTAGTGGATCATTTCATTATTTTTTTCTTGGTTCTTTCTTTTTTCAAATATTTGTGTCGTTGTTTACTCTCGGCAGTTGATTGTGGAGTCAATATCCTCTATCAGTGTTGGCGAAGAACACAGTGATCGGTTGAGAGGTCTGTACTGGAAGACAGCAGATCGAGGCCAACAGAAGTTGTCCTCTTTGGTATCCTCCTACTTGCGACGCGCGCGACAACTTCGAGGTAATCGATCAATCGCGTCCTCGGAGCACTTCGTTGCTTTTGCCCACCTTGTTGAGGACTTTCATGTAGGTATCTTGAATTATTTTGTTCCGTGTTTTATAGTTGGAAATATTGGAAAAAGAAATTCATACTCGTTACAATAGATATGAACAGTTCACGATCAGTTAAAGTATTGCTAATGTCCCGTACATTGTAATTCATGGTACTTGACTGTGACGATTAGATTTTGTCATTGCTCAATTACAGACTTCTCGATAAATTTTTGCTTCCATGTCTCCTCGTCCATTTTAAAATCAGTTCATTTTGTGAATCACTTATCTCTGACAAATCTTTTAAGTGGGATCAGGGTATAGGATTTACCTTTATCACATTAGCTCCTTTGTCTCATTCAGAGCTAGTAGTTCGGGAAGACGATGCCTGGCCATTGGTGGAAATAGAGTGGGTCGATGATGTGGAGTCCAGCCATCTGATTTATAAATATGCAATTTGTATATTTACTTGGAATGACAGACTGTTCACCATGAGTCTGCAAATCCACATATTCACAATTCATTTTGTCACAATAAAATTAGGCATCGTTGGTGAGTTAGCTTCTGGATCCACTCTCACGTGAAGCTCGCATTCTGGCATCTTACTTACAGATTGAAGTTGATAAGTATGGTCAGCATTTTTGTTACCATATTTGCACAGAAGGGCCAATCTCATGTGACCTCTTATATTCGCCAATGCACATCTTTTTCAAGTACTTTTGGATACTGCCTTTTAATTTTACTGTTTTGCTAGGTAAACATTTGGTTTCAATCGTATTTTTATTCTTTATTTAAGTGTTGATGGTTGATCTTCTCTAATTTTTCTATTTTGTTTGCCAATCCCTTTATCTTTTTACACACATTATAATTCCTGTAGTTTGAAACCATGGGATCAAATTTTCTGCCTTGCGTGTTCTGATTGAAATAGAATAAAATTTTCGGTTTTGAAATTTATCTTCATTCCTGACGGGGAGTTGTTATCTGGTCACTACTTTGGAAGTTAAACCGTCTGAATCGGCGCTTGCCCTATGTTTTATTCTATTTCTAGGAGAGAGTGATTATCCCAGCTTGGCAATGCTATCGACCGGAATTACCACTTGTAAATCAATCAATGACCCTTCGAAATCTCGCCGCGACACAAGCTGCTGTACTTGTTAGGAATTTCCACGAAGATCGATGCAGAATTCTCAACAAGTCTCTAGATCAAGAGACCTGGCGACCTGCCGAAAGGGTATTTGATCCTGCCTTATCCGGCCTTCTAAATCATCTATTGATCCATCATGAGGTAATCTACTCTTTGTTATCCACTTTCAACACTTCGTTTAGTTGAAAGATTCTCCTTCGGATAACCAAAATTTGCAAACTCCGAAGTCAACAAAACTTCTGCTCCAAGGCGAGACATATGTTGTAGTGGATACTATATTTACACTCATCCTGTTAATCTTTGATTATCTTCGGTTGGGTGAACAATTAGCAACATGGCCTCTCCAATTGCAGGATATACAACGAAATCTTTCCAAATTACTTGCCGTTAGTTTTCTCATTAAAAAAAAGAATATTCCTGTTTGAGCACACTAAATCAATTAACTACTTTACTAATTCACTTACAGCTGTTCAACTCTCGGAGTTGTAAGCTAGTGTTAGGTGCTGAAGCCCTCGAGCGGCAGATTTTAAAGAAAATTGTTGCTCGAAATATGGCTCTGGTGATTCGCAGCCTGGAGTGCCTTCTTGTTCTAATTCCTGTCCTTAATGTTTACTTCGAGAGGATGTAAGTTAAACTTTGTTAACCCATCATTTTTGCGTAGCTATTTTAAATCACAGCAGTTGAAAATGGATGGTCAGAACGAGAAGGTCCTGCCGCGTTTTACAGATCATTTTCACGACGTGGAGCAGGCAATTCAGTGCGTTATTTCTTTATACTCTCCTTATTGTTGACACTTTTATTAATACAATTAAGTGGATTATTTTTTTGGCATACACAGCTCGCATATTTCTAAGGTGTTGCATATGCTCACGGGTTTATTGGCGACTCGCATTTCCCGAACAGTTCAAACATGGCAACCTCGGCCACCCACTCCCAGTTTCGAAATGCGTCAAGTTTGTCAAGCTATCTCGAAGCTCACTGACTCCACTGGTGAAATTCTTTCCGAGACGACTCTAAACGTAAGCTAGTCAAAATGACCCCCTCCTCTCTCTCTCTCTCTCTCTCTCTTGGTAGTTTATGGATTGCTAATTGTTATCTTTGATTAATTCGTGAAATTAATTTACTCTTAGGTTTTTTAATGTTATTTAGAGTTATGTGTGATGGGAGTTCTGTTAGGCTCATATCGAGATACCAATTTCGCTTATGTTATCTCAAATATATCCCATCCTTTCGATCTTTGTATTTGTTGTAAGATTCTTGCTCACTGTATGCATATAAGAGAATTGAGGTTATTTGGTAAACTTTCAGTGTATAAGCCGATGAATAACCTATTACTATAACTTCTTTCTCCTTTCTAATCCCGAGTTTATAAGTTTTCTCCACAGTTAAGGTATTTCGTTTTCATATAGCTATCGTTCTTCTGGATGAATGCAGAAAGGTAATTTACAAGTATATTTTATTTAAAAGCAGTTAATACAGAATCTTACAAATGGGAGCATATTGAATATTCATTACTTCGCAGTAGGTATTGAAAGTGTTCACCATGTACTTCGATGCTCACCTCAACACGCTTCAATAAGCCTCTTGTCTCTTGGTCGCATTGTATCTACCAATTTTCATTGCTGGAATAGGATAGAGTAGGAAAAAAAACAGTTTGAAAGGCTTTACTGAGTTCAAATTAGAACTACATATGTGAACGCGTTGATGTTGATGTAGCGTATCTTGAAGCAAAGGCATCGGACTGTTATAGTTTAGCCTTGAAGTCAACGGTATTCCCAACCTATTGTGACAAATCAGCCTGGATTAATTAACTACGATAACCGGGCTTAGTAGAATTTTCTCCCATTTCGGAATATATTTCTCCAGTGTGGATTTATCATGATATTTCCAGTGATGTAGTAGGTTCTTAAGCTTGACCTGGGCTTAATTTGTGTAACTCATGAACCATCCAGTTTCAATTCTAGTTACCTGTGAAACTAGTGATCACAGATCTCCTACCTCTCGTAACCCCATATTTCGTTCGGAACGATCATCTTACCTCCTATTTTTGGTCATTTGGATGACTTCCACTCTTAGACCCTTCGAGATTTCCTCACTATGATCTAACCCGTATAGTTAAGTTCTCTTTTGATGACCACACACATAGGGTATACCCCCAAACACTTGTTAAAAAGGAAAAAAGAGAGGTGTAGTGGGGAGAGTGTTTTAATGTGCGGCAACTACATTACCGCAATTAATTAAAAGGAATGGATTTTACCTGAAATGAAGTGAGAAGGTTTTGGAAAAGTGAGTTGAATCTGCAAGTAAACTTTAACAACAGCCAGAATTAAATCAGAAATAGGATCACTTTAAGCTCACAAGTCATTAGAGCATCACGTTTTTATTTTGCAGAATCTTCTGATTCGAAGTCATATGGAATTCAAGGCGAGTCTTCGACAGAGGCTGGCAGATCTTGGTGTCTATCCCGATGGGGGCCCACAGCAAGGGTTAGTCTCTTTCTTAACCCCACCTACCCCTTGTTTCACAGACATGATGAAGACTACTAAGAACACTTGTTTATTTTAGCCTGGTCAACTCGGAGTTAGTATTCTACATGAATTTCTTCTGCGGCTTAACTTCCTCGTTAAAGAACTACAAGGATGAATGCGAGGAAATTTGGCCCTCCCGAAAGTCTCCCTCTGTTTTGGAGCAAGCCTAATTCCAGAAATTATTTACCTCTTTATATATATACGTGTTTGTATGTGTGTAGCAAAGTCTTTCATCTTCTTTAAAAATAAAATGGGCTCTCTTTTCCCTATGTGTCTACCATGTTCAAAGGGGTTATTACTGCTTCTGTTACTAATACATAAAAGGACCAAAACGCAATTGTATTGATAGAAGAACGGTAGGAAACCGACAAAAGCGAGAAACACTTATGTGGTATATCTCTGAATCTCTCTAAAAATCAATTGCTTGAAGTCTTGTTAATTAAGTGTCTCGGAATGACTATACTCCCGATCTATCTCTCTCTCCCACTCCAGACCAGAATCAACTCCAGCGAGGAATTGTGGTCGAATGGAGCACAGAGGTTGACGCTTGATTTCCGAGTATTACAGCCGCGTAATAAGAGCTTTATTTATAAACGCGCTTATTTAGACTAAACCACTCACTTGGTCCGGTAGATTTCCAAACTCAGGCATGATTATTGCGAGTGTGTTCATTTGACGCGTGTGATTGAGATCTTACTTTCAGTTTGAGGCCAATTTGACTCTCTAATTGGAGCCTGTTATTTTGGTTTAATTAGTATCCGCATTTTACAGGCAGTCGAAGCCGTATATTCACGTTAAATATAAGTATATGTACTATTTACTCGTGTATACTTCTTTCTCATTTACTAATTACAAGGATTCGCCATGGGCATCTAAACATTTTATGAATAGTTTTCGATTTATTTCGATATTATCGAGGCAGTTTTAAAAAATGTATTTGTAAATTTAAAATTAACTAATTCCTTGTACATTAATCATATTAATGCTTATGTGATAATTCCATATGCCATTATACTAAATGAAGGGAAATCAAAATTACCTCTTTCGTTGTGTTTCTAAAATGGGGAGGGGGTGTGCGATAGATTTACCTCCACTGGGCGAGGCATACTTATACGGCAAAAAAGTCTACCATGACCCGACTGTGTCAAATTAGACCACCTTCACGGTACTCACCTTGACTCTTTCCCTGCCTTTATGTCTGTCCGTCTCATTTACATCTGTGAATCACTCTTCTCTTCACCCTCTCCACATTTTGTGACTTTGCTGTTCCTCCCCTCTATGAAACCTGAAGTCAAAAAATGGGCTAATGTTAATATTCATATAGCCTGCCATGTATATAAATAAATTAATAAATATTTTAAAATTGAAAGTTCTTTTACCTTAGCAAATAGAACGCCTTTCGGCAAGTTAATATACATGTTCTTTTGAAAGAGCTAATGTTTCGTCGTTCATTTTAAAAGGCGTTTATTAAGGGATGGATCTTGCGGTATCTTTTCATATTCATCGATAGAAAAGAACTCCCATTTAGGCCATCTCAATTCCATAAGGCGTTTGGAGAAGCATCTTACATTAACACCCATGCAAGTCAGCATGGCTAGGATCATTTTGGGTCTCACCCCTAAAATTCATGCGTCTAACAACATGAGAAATACTTATTACCGACATTTGAGATTAATTACCTCTGTCTGCTATAGTTAATGAGGGTTTTACTTTATGTGGTCATAAACCCACTTGATCGACATATAGACCAATGTTCAAACTTTCAATTTCAAGCTGATCATTAACCTCCTGAAATTGCTATCATTATTATAATTTTTGCCACATTGTCGAGATCGACACATTCTGAAGTCGTCTCTGTCTTCATCCTTTCTTGTGGTGGTGGCGGTGGTAAAGATCGCGAATTTTTGAAAGGCCTAAGTATCAGCAATTTTCATTCATATTAGACTCATTCTTTATGGATTGCGCTGCTCCAAGCAGTTGCGGAATTGAGCTAGAGATTTAAAAAAAATTAGGAAAATTCAACCAAAACCTGAATCCGGTGGCAGTTTGTTAAACTACGCAATCAATTCATAATTCTCGAGTTAATAGGACAAAGGCAGCTTGGTTTTTTTTGCATTCTTCAATCCAATGGCCCTGTAAGTCAGTGTATTATAGAAATAAGTTTCAAACACAAGTGTGTAAATATAAACATATGTCGTGCTAATAATCGCCTCGGGGGGTGGGGGGGGGGGNNNNGGGGGGATGAGAGCGCAGGGGCCCTTCAATGTACTTTAATGGCTATGTTCTGCGACAGACGCACCCCAAATAAATGTATTCCGCACCGTGAGACTGTTTCCTCTATATTTTCGCTAGCTTTTCCACGCTAGGGTATTGTATCGAGGATACGCCAAGGCGTATCCTAGTATGAATGCGCTACATACCACAGGTTGAAAACCAATAACTAGAACAATTGAAATTTGCATTCGCGTAAATAGGCAAAAGGAATTGAATGCTACTTTTCGTTCAAAATAGATTATTTAAATAACAACTTGCAAAAAATTCCTAATCCACTTGGACTGCACCACTTTCGTCTTTGTATGCTCACTTAAGTACATGAGCTTATTAACCAAGATTCATCCGAAAACTAACAAATACATAACCCACTATGGAGCTCATTATCCCAATAATATGTTTGCGCTGTAGTGCAGCCTGGATACGAAATCCCCCGAAGCAATAATTCTTTCGGACTCACAGTCAGTAATAAATTCAATTGGAAACAGAGAGACACTTAAAACAGACGAGATATACGAACCTTAAAACAGAGAAAAAAAGTAGTTCTTCAATGGATCACTGGACACTGTGGCATTACAGGCAATTAGCGGGCTGATTGACTTGCTTAGAAGGGGACTACAATTCTGCAAGACATAGACGAAAGCCGAAGTCAACTAAGGGGCTAATGATAAATGTCATAAAGCCTGCCTATTGAAATGATGTTTGAGCAAGTTGCTACTGAAAGACTGGAAACTGGCTAAGTGAACAACCTCGTCAACCTGTTTGGGAGCACCCACTAAGGCCCAGACTAATCCGGACAAAGATCCCTCCGCGCGATGATTAAAAATGAATCTATCTACCTTCAGTTCCTATCTCTAATAAGCAGTGGTCATGATGAAGTGTTCACCCCCTCTGCTACCCTGTAATGCCTACATTTAAGTGCCATATAGATCTTTATGTGCTTTCATTCTAAGCCGGTTTTTATAGGAATGCCCATTGACAATTCTCATTTGGATAATACTCCTTGCAATACCTTGTTTAGGTATCTACCCAAAGTCTGGTGCAATCTGTTTGAAATTTGACCTTCGCCCCTTTATCTTTTGTACCATCACAACACTCAATACGCGCGTGTTCCATTCAAACGTCTGGCCTACTGATTAGAAAAAGGCAGCTGAACCCGTCAACCATTGGAAAGATCATTAATTCTGTGCAAAGATTGACAGGTTTCCAAGGCAGTGATTCCACGAGAATGATTCAATGTTACTATAAATACCAACACAGGTCCGGTCAACTACTTGTTGGCTCAACATAGTCCCCAGACTTGACTTTGATAAAGTAGACCACTAGGCATTTTGCTCTAGACATCTTGATAATGAGATCATTAACCAAGCCACTCATTAAAGTAATCAATGAATAAGACCAAAAAATCTAAATTGAACCTTAGATAAATATTTCGAAATCCCAATTTCATGGGATTCCTGATTGTACAGCAAATGGAAACTATTCTAACTGAAGAGAAATTTTGATTAGTTTCTGTAATAATTTGACTGAAATCAATTAAGTAGTCAGATCAAATTGACGTAAGCACGGAAAGCGTTGAGTGACGAGTGAGGGCCACCTGCCTTTGAGGTTAGAGTCACTTTCATTTTCGCGGGCACGAAGTAAATACAACCGGGTCCAAACTCGCTAAATTTAAACAAATTCTTCAATCAAAGCAAATTCAATTTTAAACAATCTAAAATCAGACTCACAATTTTGTTGAATTAGTTTGGCAAGGAAGTGCAGCTGTTATAATTCCTTCCCCATGAATGAAAAGAAGAATGCTGGCTGTAGGAACTGGTGGAAGGCTGAATTCTCTGCTTTCGTTATCGAACTGAAACAAATCACAAAAATGATTCAACAATTAAGATTGTGGCAATTTTTCAGAGCAATATGGGGTGAAAAACGGGTTGTTGTTGTAAGATAGTGATGAATCATCATGAAATTACTGATTAAAATCGATTAAAATTAACCTTAATTCCAGCAGAAAAGCTGCCAAGAGATTATGACCAAGTAAAGCTAGATCTACCCCCTTACGAATAAAATGATTTTCTAAAGCTAAAAGGCCACAACAGCCTTCACCATCCTTTTCCTGGTACACAATCATTGAACCACAGAGGGTAGATGGTAGATTGAGTAGAAAGTAAGGGGACTGGGTATGAAAGTCCAATAAGCGAGGGCAGAACTGAAGTTGTGTCAAAAGGCTAAACGAAATATACCTACGAAATCTATCAGACATTATTTTCTTTGCCATTTACTTTGCAGCAATTAGAGAGAGACGATCCATAGGTCATCGTGTTCTGTGATCAACATCAAACACGGATAATCAATTATGAGGAAAAGAAGCATTTTTTATTTATTACTTTCCCTACATCGTCACCCAGAGTCACCATCGAGACGTGCCATTAGAAAGCAAATATTACAGAACAAAAAACTCCTCCTACCTGAATCGAATTCACAGCGAACTCTGAAACCGGCGGAACAAAGCATTCGAATTTCACTCCTTCAGGTGTTGATATCTTAGATGAGGCAACAGGAGGAAATCGAAGATTTGAAGGTCCTTCAAGTGATTCGTATTCCAGCATATCCAGTAATCGTTCAACATCCTTGAACTTTGGTGTCAAACCAGCTCGTACCACGTTGTCCGAATTTGCCATACACTCAACACAATCACCAGAAATATAGGCATGTGGAGTATTTGCCTGGCAAAATTTGAAAAAAAACTCGTTTTAAGCTATTCATAACTTACGGTGAAAGTTTTTGATGGCATAGGTTCTTACACTGGAGAATTCAAGTCAAATTAAGGGAATTAGAATAAATATATGTAGGTCACATAAATATGCGGATAAAGACTTGCATACCTTCAAGAATATTGCTTCTCCTGGCTTCATTTTGATGTAATTGAAAAAGAAGACACTGAGACAGCCAACATCGCCAGGAAATTGTTGGTTCAAACGAAGAAACAGCTCAACAAGACTGCTGCTATCCACACCCTCAATACCTTCTAGTCTTGAGTCAGCTGACTGGGTGAACTTCTTAACTAACGAGTTGATGGCACCTTCAACTTTCTCTGAACTAGAATGCATTAAGCAAGAATAGAGGTTTCTAATCATTTCTCCTTTCGAGTCTTTGGAAGGATTCAATGTCAATTCAGCCAATTCGGGAAGACCTAAAGTAGGAAATAAGCCTTCGGCTTCAGCAACACATTAGCATATTGAATTCAATCAACTTTCAAACGCTTTAATACCACTGCTCTGATTGCCGAGTTTCGAACAATAAATAAAAGTTAAATAATTAATCGGCACTTTATTTGACTCAATGGAGTTTATTATCGAAATGAAATCGAGTGTTATTTAAAACCTCATAAGACAATCAGTAAGGGAGGAAGCCGGTAACTTCGACAGCAGATGCAAATAATTATGTTAAGTCACGGGATGTGCGATAGACTTACCTCCACATGGTGCACCCTGGGCAACGTATACTCATGCGGCAAAAAGTCTATTTACTGGCAGTTGACTTCTCACTTCAAACTACCATGGTCCCACTGTATGTCATATTCGACTACTTTCACAGTACTCACCTCACCTTTTTTCTACCTTTGCATCTGTCTCTTTTACATCTTTGAAACACTCTTCTGTTCCCCCCCTCCTCCCTCTCGAATTTTTTCACTTTGATATTTCTTCCCCTCTGTGAAGCCTGAAGTCAACTAAAGGGCTAATAATAGCTAACAAAACGCGTTGGGAAGCTTGTATTTTGAAGTGGAATTTTCGTGACCTAACGGGACCCTTCCCTTGAAATTACCGTTGCAGCTCTTCAGTTTTATAACCACGTAACTCATCATAATCACCATTTGGTCAACGTTTACTTATAATTTAACAATTAACCTCCCTTCTATTGCGATAACAAAGTCAATTAGCCAACGACTTCGTGAA